TTCCGTTTAGTCTCTGTTCTCCAGTACAGAATGTCTTAAGCACAGCCACTGTGACGTTTATAGAGCTGAAGGTGGGTCCCAGGACAGGCTGATTGGATGACTGACCACACATAGAGAACGCAAGAATGTGCTTGCGTTCTCACGTTAGTCAGTCACTCTCCCTCCACTGGGAGCCTCTCACTGCTGTCCAGCTGCTCCAGTCAGGGCACGACAGAGACTGGTCTGCCACACCACCACATGTGGCCCATAAAGCTATTAATAATACAGGATTATAAATTATGTTGATTCCGCTAAAAAACACACCACTAAGGCAAGCCATGCAGGCAGGAGAGGTGAATGTTGGCCAAGCACATGCCGCACCTGCACAGCCCTGCTGCCTGCTGAGAACTGACTCGGAGCAGCTGAATCTGCCACTCAGCGGGTGCAGATTGACAGATTGGTATCCGTCCCAAACTCTGAGGACTATTCTCCGCGGGAAGAGGCTAGCAGCTGATAAAAAAACCTGGATAAATCTTTCTTATCTGCTGGCAAAGAATTAGAGGAAAAAGCGGCTTGGGTGCATACCAACTGGATGAAAGCAAGTGTGGATACAGACACCATGTGGTTAGAACCATTTTAAGAACCTTGATTATGATTTCATTAACTCACCCTCATCCACAGCAATAAAGCTCAAAGACATTTGTGTGGCTTCTACTCTTCATTTTCCTATTATTTATTCAGAGCTTTAACAATAATAAATCAAAAAGGCAAGATTCTTAGAATTACTCTTCAGAGCATTTATTATGTTGGTCCCAGAAGACACCACATCCCTGACTACTATAAATTTGCACCAGATCATTTTTCTTACACTGAGAGTTTGATATTTAGTCATTTTATCATGCTTGTCCATTTTACTCACGAATGAAACAACTGAGTTAATATTACTGGTCAAACTACATTTGTCACCTTAAGAAAATGGACTGTCACTGAAAACCTCTGGGAAATTTAACAGATAAAACAGAAAGTACTTCATTGTGATTCATATAAAATTGTGAGTATTTTGCTACACTGACCAATTTCTGCTTGTTTTCTTTTCATGTCCGTTTTAGCAGCGATGTCATTTCTCTTATGTCATTACTTTTGTGCAGACTTGTTGTGGATTCTTTTTCTTCTCCTTTTTATTGATGCACACAGCATGTGTACGTGCAAAAAAGGGCAATTTCAAACGGCCTTAAATGTGATGGGAAGCTTGGATTTTCTCAAAGAGGTGATTCTGTTTCCGCAAACAGCACCAGTACCTCCGTCCAATTCCTCTGGTCCCAGTCCTAAAGGCTCAGTCCCATGCTCTCTGCCTAGCTGGGGGCCCTTTGATGGAGAACACATGCAAGACTTCCTCTGGGTGTCAGGGCTGTGACTGGGGCCCTTCTCCAGGGACTGTTGAAGGATGTGAACTGCAGCATTTCATCCTAACACTCACACACTGTACCATGGCTTACTAATCAGACCACTCCTTGCAAAGCTCTAACTCTTCTCCTCAGACTAGAGCCACTACTGTGAGGGCTGCTCTCACAAACTGACTCCTTCCTAGTCAAGTGTATTTATCAGTCAGGCTTGGTGACTTGGTGTCGCAGTCAGCACGGATGGTTGTGTAGACATGTCAGCCTCACTACACTGAAGTGCATGTATAGTATCTGAAGTCTAGCCAGCAGCTTCTGTTATACCCCAGTATAGTGATGGGGACAGTATACTGTAAAAAGGCGCTGCCCTTTGATTGAGATGTAAAACTGAGGTCCTGACTCTCTGTAGTACTGAAATCCCAAGGCATTTCTTGAGGGTTGTTACCTCAGTGTCCTGACCAGATTTCCCAATCATGGCCTTCTAATAATCCCCATCTATGCCATGGCATCATCACTCTGTTCTCCTCCCCACTGATAGCATGCTGGTGCACTGTGGCTGCTGTTGTATCATCCAAGTGGGGCTGCCTACTGGTGGCGGATGGGAGTCCCCATTACCTGTAAAGTGCTTTGAGTGGAGTGTCCAGAAAATTACTATACAGCACAATAGAAGCACTATACAAGTGTAAGGAATTATTATGATAAGTCTGCATATCTTTTGCTAAGTATTTTAAGACATTTACAGTAGAAGATTTCAACCAGGTAAACAAGAGAATTTTAAAACCAGTCCTGTAAGAGACTTGTAGCCAGTGTAGGTTTTCCAGCACAGGAGAAATATATTTGGCTTTTGTAGACTGTAGTACATACTGTAGTAATGTAGCAGCTCTGTGCCTTCTCATCTACATCACACAGAAGCAATGCCGAAACTAGTAGAATGGGTTTGTGTTAGTCCAAGCCTTCCACTAACAGGGACCTGTTTGACTCACCTGCAATCTGTCTGTGTCAGGACGTCCCCTCTGGATCACTGTTCTGATGTATGTACTGTGTGGTTCTGCTTTCCATATGGAACCCCTCCAGTACTTTGGGTTGCTTCTGTTAATTCCTCTCAAATCTTTGAATACCTAAACTCCGTCCTTAGCAAGTTCTCCCTTTCTGCTTCAAATAAAGGTGCTCTTTTTGCTATGACATAAATTTCAGCCCACTTTTTCCTAGCTGAATATACTGTATACATTGGGTCACCCAGAATCATTCACCCTGCCAGTGTTTTCTATATTAGACAGAAGTATCCAATGCTAAGCAGAATTAAAGATATATAGTGAGATCAAATAGGTTGCAGTGAGCCAATGTTTTATTTGTTTCCACCTTTTGGAGAGAAAAAAAAAGCAAAAAACATAGAACAAGACAGGAAATGTCAAATTCTGAAAAGAAGAACAAAAAACATGCTTGTTTTTGGATATGACCCCAACCTAATAATACCAAACTCCTGTGTATCTGTATATTAGTTTGTTCATTGGGAAATCACAATAAGCACTGTTTCAAATAACATGGCCTTCTTAAATATCTTAGAAATGATGTGAAGGATATCTTTGTGTGAAGTCTGGTCTTAATGTAACACTCCAGACAAGGCAGTGCTCAGGTCTCAGGGCGTAGTAATGCCAAGAGCACTGAACTTCAGAGCTTCTCAAACAGCTAAGCTGGCTCAACATTCAGGTATCAGCTTCCACCTCAAAGCATCTGCTGGCATTCCTAACAGCTATAAGGGCCCACAGCAATTAGAGGAGAACCCCTGAATTTCAGATGTGTGAAAATCACACTACCAAAAAGGAAAGAGTAAAGGTTACAAACAAGGATTTAAACAAATCTCAAAAGTGATCTATCTGTCTTTAGAAAATGGGATAATCTGTGCTTGAAAGACTTGTCCTCCAGGCAATCTTCCACAGTTCAGTTATGTAGTCAGTGAGCTGGATGTTTGCCTCAGTGATCCTAGCTAGGCCTGTTGGGTACTAACTACCGCCTATTTTTATATTAAATGTTCTTTTTATTATGAACTTAAAGTGCTGGTTGCGTGTGGCAGTTTAGCATTGACAGCTCTTATATGGCTTTCCTGAGAAATATGGATTCAATTTATGGTTGTGGTGGTGGTTGGATGTAACCCTATATCCCAAGACTTTGAACCAACAGTGGTCCACTGAGAATAAACCATAACTGTAACTATAACTAAAACAGCACAGAATACAGGAAGTACAGAGCCATTTATCCCAGGAAATTAAACAAGAAAAAAGCTCTCAGAGGAGTTAATCACACAGTGATATCTGATATCAGCTTCCATAGATAAAACACTGTACATAAAGTTACATCCTGATCTGTCAAGCTAACCTTTGGGTCATTCCACTCCAGTTCTCTTTAAATCACATTAAGGCTAGATTAAAACAAACAGGAAAAGTTAAGTGCCTGTGCTAGCTCCCCATGGTACATTTTGAGGATGGGATGATAAACAAATACCACTTCCTGGCTTCTGTGTGTGTTTATTAGATTCTCAGGCCACAAGAGAGAGTATTTTCTGAGGTATTCTAAGGAACGCTCTCAGACAAGGGCAGGTGATGCCAGTGGAGGCACATCTTTGTAGATATTACTGTATTTCAGATCAGGGGATCACTGCTTCATGAACGAAAGTACAGTAGCTGAATAAAAAACTATATGAATCCAAACTCTTTATGAACTTCAAATACTCTAAATCAGTCCCTTATCACTATTATACTGTACATGATTATTTCACAAACCTATGGCTCTCTTTTGTGAGGGTGAATGGCTGCAGTTTTTTTTCTGTGTACTTATTCACATTTTCAGCCAGTGAAAACCTCAGTGAGGAGAATGCATTTCTGTACAGAAGAGCTTCAGACCCACCTTTTCCAATGACCAAAATCAACTCCCTGGCTGGGCTCCATACTTTTTCACTTCCTGTTTTTGGTACAATGTTGCCATACCTTGGATAGTGGGAAAAATTACTACTTTAAAATTTAAAATTACTTACTCTCTTCCGAGTGTGTAACACAGAACAAATAACCGTGGTCCATTTTTTCTCCTGGATATTTCAAACATCTTTTGACTTTTTAGCGGTTTTAAAATGTTTTGTTAGTTTTACAGTACTTTTTCGTTTTTTGCTCTTAAAAAGAGAGTAGCATGGATAAAGAGCAGTGGTTGAAGAGGTACTGTATGCCTGTGAAGGTTGATACAAGCTCTAGGTGAAAAAACTGCTTGTTTGCAGGTTTCTCCTGGGTACAGTAAAAGGAATTACAGTACACTGCATTATACAAGCACATCTGAATTTACTACGTACTCACTCTTGAGATTCTGAACTTTTAATTTTAGCATAATGTATTATTAAGCTACATACTGGTAACATTTCTTCTGATAACACTATGTTAACATCTGAATATAAAGAATATTGTACTTGACGTGGTTGTATAAATAGTTTGTTAGAGGTGATGAACGTTACGTTTGACATGATTACAGTAGTATTCAGTAAGTATTCTCTCACCATTTCCTTTACACTAAGGGTGAAGAAAAACGACACTACTGTACGTGGTTGAGCGTGAAAAATAAAAACTCGCAATGTATTTTTATACAAGAACACGCTAAAACAGATTTCATCTCACACTGCAGGCTACTGTACAGGTTGTATCGATCAGTCCATTCGCACTACACACGATTTCTTCACAGGTATCGGCGAATGCGATTGTGATAGTGGCATGAAATATTAGCGGCACATTTACGCTTTTAATAACAAACGAGCCGCGGTCTGTGGCAGCCCGCTTTCACAATCGCAGCTATCCACCATTTCTCTGAAGTATCTGGATCTAACAATGGGAACCTCACAATGTCATCCTACTCCAGCGAGGGTAATATAAACGCCGAATTGCTCCGCACTGACTGGCCGACCAGGGAAACAGAATCGCCAGTAAGTGTTCGTGGTCTTTTTTAAAACCGCAGTAATAAAGTCGTCGTGTGATTCTTAGGCTCTTTTTTTTTACCTGTGGCGAAAAAAACGAGTACGTCTGTAGATTCTAGTCTTTAAATGCTGGTTGGTCGAAGTGAAAGAAAATACAGCAATCAAGCTTGGCGTTGCTACTGTATATATTGCCTGACTAGGAACCGACGAGGAACACGCCGTAACCAGAGCTGCTACTCCTATTCTGCAAAAATAGACCGATTTTCTATCATTATGACTTCACTCTATGATGATGATGATATTATTATTATTATTATTATTATTATTATTATTATTATAATATGCAGCCTCTCTTTAATTCCTACTGTCCTTGTTATTTTATCTTAGGGATTCCATTAATACTTAATACTGTATGTACTGTAGGTTGCTGTGCGGTGCATTAGTGATGGGCTTTGATTGTAGCCCCGATCCTGGGGTTTAAGGTGTGATTTCAAATTATTGGTTCTCTTATGTTGTAATACGGCAATGTTATTGTAACTGCAGATTCTGTCCGACCTACACCTACAGTACCACATTCATTGCTTCATTGAGGCGGAAAGACTCTGGCAGGGACGGATCGCGTGTTTCTTTCATTCTCGCCTGTGTTTTTTGCTTGAGCTGTTTCTTATATACAGTACATTTTTTCAAGCGACCTCAGATTCTATGAATAAATGTCAAAAGACTGTTTAACAAAAACACCACAACGGCTACATTTAGGCATATTACTACTCACAGTGTATGGTGTAGTAATTATTAATAAAGGTAACAACATGCCATCAATGAGATTCGAAGAGCAGTGTGTATGATATCGTGGCACTAAGGAGTTGTGAAAATCCTCTGCCCATCAGCGACACAGTTGATTCATAATTTGCTGTCAAGACTTGCTGCACTATAAAAAAAAAAAACTATTGAGCGTGACCAGGGCTCCGACAGAAGGCAGGAAATTACAGTAGCTCTTTTCATCTGTCCCACCAAGAGAAACGTGTCTATTTTATTCAATTCATCTGATTATGTGCTCTGTGCAATGATTACAATAAATTCCATACAATTCAGTTTTCGGGTTTGAAGACTGTAAGCGTTTGAGTGAAAATAATCTCCTAATCCTATAAAAACAGAGGTGTATTTCCATCACGGGTTACCTGCAAATGGTACAACAACAAATCTATTTCTTTTTTAACTTCGGCTGCAGATCCTTGCCTTGCTCAGAGGCCTGCCGTGTTGGAGGGGAAGTTTGTCCCTGTAGATTTGGACAAGTTTGGAAACCCGATAGTGAGGCAGCAGTCTGGGCAGCTGATGCGCTGCAGCTAAAAATAATCCGCTTCCACTATTCACTGCCTGATTACACACTCGAAAAATCCGGGAATGAGAATGAAAGTGTGTCAATAGCCAAAAGGATATTTTTTCTGAGGTAAGAATTTCTTTTAAACGGTTTATTTTCTCTTCTGTGGTAAGCACACATGTGAGTTACTGTAAGTGCGTTCATTACGTGTAGCCGTACGGTACGTTAAGACTGAATTTACTATTGCAAGAACTTCTCAGTATGGGCACATTTACTGTACAAATTGTGAGTGATTTGGTTTTAGTTTGACGTTCTTTACGATGCATATTTGGGATATTTTTTGAGAACTTGCTGACGAAAATTAAAGATTTCTACAGAAAAGTCCAATTTCCGAGGCGAAATCTATAGGTTATCAATACAGTAGCTTATTTCCTTAATGGGAGATGTGCTGTAATGATTACTACCATTTATTAAAATATTAAATGTGTATTTTCTCTCTTTTAGTGCTTTATTATTATTATTTTTATTATTATTATCACAAATGCAGCACGGACATTTTAATGTATTTCACAATTACACAGTAGACTTTAAAACACAATTTGGAAAATGCTGAAGTTCAGTTAATGACTGTGATCAATACTGCTCAGTAATATACCGCTTAAAATTGAGCATTTATGTTGTTTTGATAACGCCATGGCGTTATACTACTTAAGATGTGAGCAGCAGGGCAGAGGGATGAGGTTGGGAATAATTTTTATTGAAGTATTAAGGTCCCAGAGAGATTCAAGGGCAAATGTACTGCAGGCTGCCCAAGTGAAGACTGGCTTCTATCCCGTGTCAAAACTCACCTACAGTCCAACCTCATGCTGTAGGTGGCTAATGGAATCGCTTCACGATTTGTGCAGATTTCCTTAAAGTGATTTTTGTGGTGATGATAATATTAATATTACAAGTTCAGGTAAATAACAACATTTAGCATGGCATTTTTAATTTTGAATTCTCCGAATCCCTTTACTTCAAAATGTGATAGTTTTCTTTTATGAAGTGTATTTGAAATGGCTTTAAATGAATGGATTTTTAATTTCCATTGCAACTGTTGCTTTTTTTCCCAAATCTTTGTAGACCTGTATCTCCTGGTCTCACTATAATCTCAGCATAAATATTTGTCTGTTTCAAAGCACGTCTGGATCTAAGTTTTTTAATAACAAAACAGGGAACATACAGCGCTGTCATACCTAGTCACACCTGTTACACATGCCTTTACTTTCAAAAAATTAAATTTTTTGCAAGAAATTTGCTAACCTTCCAAGCCAAACATTCAGTTATAGTGAAATGTGAACAGCCTATATGTTTGAATTAGTAAGAATATAGGAAACAAAATCTGATGTGAAACTTAATCTGGTGGAATTCCTTCATGTGGTCTAGTCAGACCAGAATGACCTCTGGGAATTGGACTGGTATAGTTCCAGGTGCTTGAATGTCCTAACTCATTGTGCTGCTGTCCAGCCAAGGAAATCCTCACAAAATTAATTACATTCAACAGTAACTATTGATTTTTTTTTACCCTAGCTCATTCATTGAGAATCAGATCTTTTTACAACAGAAAATATTCATCTTAACATAATGAATTGCAGTTGGTGTTTTGAATATTCATTCTAACCACTTTTTGGAACTTGATGCACTGGCATTCTTGCAAAACCAGAAAGATGGAAATTGGAAATTGGATTGAATATCTTTAGTCTGTTTCAGTCACGTGCCAGAGGAGTACTGTCCTATCTATAAAAGTATTATCCTGTCACTTCTGACAATCATTACCCCTTTCAGATATCCAAAACATGCTTACAAGTGAAAACACATACAGTAAAGCACAACCCCCAAGGTAAACAGTTTAAAACATACAGACTGTATATTTGTGCTGAAAGAGATCTACAGTATGTCTACCAATATGAGCTAGAACCTGTTTCCTGCTGGTTTACTGTTAAGTGCTTAGAGTTTTACTGTTGTGATGAAATATACAGTATAATAATTGCCATAAAAGCTATGATAAGGATAATTATTGTTATGTGTTCTTCTCTACCAGCTCTCTCAGAATCAAGTTGGCATCATGTCCCTTTCATTCTGTGGTAATGACAGAAATGACTCCTACAGTGTGGAACCCAGAGTCCTGGACAATGGCTGCTTTGTGGATGCTCTTAACTTGGTTCCCCACGTCTTCCTTCTCTTCATCACGTTCCCCATTTTGTTTATTGGTATGTAAGGTGGTGTCATCTGGGACGAGTTACTGTTCACACCTGGATGGTAGCCTGAGAGTTTCTCATGTACACAATGCACTCACTGTGTGACCTCTGAAACAGTACAGTAAATGGGATCAGATGGGGTCGGTGTGAGGTGAAAAAAAGAAAAAAATGAAAAATGTGGAAACAACATTTTTATGGAACCTGAATATTTTAACCACTGCATGATATAAAACATGCATTAAGTTTGAATGAATTGTCTAATTACAGTTTGGGTACTGGCAACATCAAATCAAACCTGACCCAGAAAATTGCTTGTAGTGTTTAGTGTTTTCATGACAAATGTCAGAAAAGGATCTGCTGAAGTGAATTAAATACAGAACCAATTAAACAAACCAATAATTCAGTTTGGCAATTTGCCAAATATACCTCCAAGGTATTCCATCTAACTTACTCTAGAGCTCACAAGATTATTGGGAATCTTTTGAACTGAAACGCAAACAATGTGTTGTTTATAATTAAATTTCTTAATTTCTGTTAAAAAGTAGATTTTGTGCTCGAACATCTTTAGTCATATTTGTCCTTCACCTAGTCCCCACCAAGCCCTATTAGTAAATAACATTGAATTTCTTTGACAACACAAAAATGTACTTTATTATTATTTTTTTTAAATCAATCAGAATTCAATATCTTTGTGTGATGAAGTAAGTGTTTACTTTTAGTCCTACCTTAGCCTTAGTCAGTTAAGATGGTACAGTACGTGGAATCAGGTGCTAGAAGTAATTCTACCTGTATATAAAAATCAGGAACTTTATCAGTTTGGTCTTAAACATTCAGGTTTCCGGTAACACATCATGTCAGATCCAAAGAAATCTGTGACAGTCTTAGAGAAAGAATTGTTGCTGCTTATCTGTCTGGAAGGGATTAGAAAGATATTTCAAAACTAAATGAGGCCTATAATTCCACAGTAAGATAATCTGCAAATGGAAAAAAACAATTAAGACTGTTACCAATATACCTAGGAGTGGCCATCCTTACCAGATTCTGAGCATTTGAGATTTGACTATATGATCATCCTAGAAGCCTTGAAGAGTCCCAAGACTACACCCAGGGATCTACACACCTCTCTTCCTGTAGCAAATGTCAGAGTTCGTGAGTCTCCATCAGGGAAAGCAGAAGGAGGAAACCCTGGTCTCCAAGATGAACTTTGCTGCATGGCTTAAGTTTGCAAAAAAAGAGCACTTGAGCAAAAAACAAAACTGTTGGAACAATGTGCTCTGGTACTATACTGTAAGTCAAAAGTGGACTTGATTGGCCATAATGCAAAATGTCATGTTTGGTGAAAACCAAACACTTGACCAGAAGAACTTCACACACATCAAACACAGTGGTGGTGGGGTGATGGTTTGACTCTGCTTTGCTGCCTCAGGACCAGGACACGTTGCTATCAGTGAGTCTACAATGAAATCCACACTGTACCAGAGTTAAGATAAAGGAAAATGTGAGACCATCTCTCTGGCAGCTAAAGCTAAACTGATAGTGGATCATTTAACAGGACAATGATCAATTGTCATTTACCAATGGAATGGCCAAGTCAAACTCCAGATCTAAAATCCACAGAGATGCTGTGGCAGGACCTAAAGAGGAGCTTTGCATATAAGAGGACCTCAAACATCACAGAGCTGAAGCTGTTCTATAAAGAACAGTGGGCCATTTTTGCTGCTAAAGGCAGTGCTACATGTTACTGAATCAAGGAGTGAATATTGAATGCTGGCTGATTTATTTTTTAAATAAAGTAGAATTTTGTGTTATTGGTCAAACTAGTTTTACTATTAAGACTTGGTGAAGACTCAGTTAAGGTCAAATATGTCTAAATATGGTCAATATGGTCATCCACAAAACCTTAAGGGGGTGTATTTACCACTGTATTCTTATATACAGTAGTACCTCTCAATACAGAGCATTCTTAAGGCATTTAACATCAATTGTACATTTTAAATACTACATTATACAGAATATACAATTAAACTAATGTAGTTGTAATTGGGAAATTAAAAGAAAAAGATCTATTGAGAATTAAAGGCCATAAGTTTTAAGATGAGTTCTAATAATTCATATTAAAAAGCATCTGCATAAAGTCTAGAGTTTAACATGCTGGCTCTGTTTCTAATATTTTTAGTTCAAACCGCGTTTCAGTTTGGTACTCTTGTTTTATGTTGCACTTGAAATGTATTCTCTGAGGAAACTCAATTTTCAGTTTATCTTGGTTATTTTTTGCACTGTATTCCTGGGAATGTCTTGTATCAGCATCTCTTAATCCATTCTCCCAGGACCTTTTAATTGACACTTCCTGATAAGTCCTTTCATGAGGTTATTTTGATGAGCGTCTGTGAGAAAGCCCAGTAATGTCTTTCACTGAAGAGACTTTGTTACTTCATTTTCATGCAGCAACAGAGAATGAACAAGACAGAAAAGATTAAGTTGCTTATTAAAAACTAGTACCCAACCCAGACTGTGCAGTAGTAGAAGCATAAAAAGTAATTTTGTTTTGTGTCATACTCTTCATTCATGAGGGTCATTTTGCACAGCAAAAAGGACTCACTTCATCCACCACTTATGGGCAGCTGCTACTTGTCAATAAAAAAAAAAATATTTCAGCCTGTTTAATTATGCATGATTATATCTGGATTTTTAACTTAAAGGGTTTGTTTGAAAAACAGTCAAATCAAGTTTCTAGATGTAGTGTATATGTTACCTTAATTTTTTACTAGTGTTTTAAAGAAACATAACTACCAACTGGATTGACATACAGTATACAGTATTTGATTTGAAACCCTTTAGAAATGGACATCTGTATTTCAAGGAGAGGTTTTTTTTTTACCCATAAACATTTCTGATTTATTTCCATGGAAAATATTGTAGAGATGAGATGGTGTCAAGGTAAGTAATAAGAGATTCAGATATAACGGTTTGCCTGTAGTTGATCGATTTTACATGATGCTTTCCCCAGTGCCGTCCAGAGAGGGCTTCATGCTCAGGGACTGGTTTGGTTCCTATATATAGATGTGCTATCAAGATCCAGCCCTGACACTGAATATGTCTATGGATGGACTAAATGGGCACTGAGGGACATATGTCACATCTTTTCCATTTGGTACAGTAGCAGGTAGTATTTGGTCCTTAATATTAAGGTAGAGCTGACCATGAAAAGTGTTGCATAAAAATAAAAAGTGGTAGATTAACTGATTACAAAACAAGATGATTATTGGTGGAACTGCGAGAGGCCCTGAAGACAGTGCAATACCAGTTCAATACCAGTACAATACCAGTGCCCATTGTCCTCCAAGGTGACCTAGGTGCTACACATAAGGTATTGCTGTTCTTGTATTCTGTGGCAGACATTCATTAGTCCTCAGAATGTCAAGATGCAAAAGCACACTGAGACTCCATTCAGGATCCTCTTTTGTCTCTGCAGGCTGGGGAAGCCAGAGCTCTAAGGTACAGATCCATCACAACACTTGGCTGCATTTCCCTGGTCACAACATGAGATGGATCCTGACCTTCACTCTGCTGTTTGTTCATGTGTGTGAGATAGCGGAAGGCATTGTTTCTAATGGGTAAGCCTCTTGATCTGCTCCCGTCAAGCTGATCTACTAAAGTGCAGCAGGGCAGAGAGCGAGAAGGACTGCTCTAGGTTTCTGTTCAAAATATGGAAGTCTGATTATATACAGTATAATTTGCTTTTGCATTACAGAGTTGCCATTAATATTAATATTAATGTGTTTTGTTAGCTTATCACTCTTGCTACCATAATGGGAGTAATCCCAGGTTTGCCACAGACATACAGTACAGTACATACTAGTACAAATAATTGTAGACCCAGTATAGCTTCGGGTAGAGTAGAGTAGTTTATTGCCATATCTACACATACATTGGAATTCTTAATCACGCTGATCTCTTGGGATGTACCAAATTAGGAATCCTGACTGGGGGCGCATTGCACAGCAGTAGTGGTGGCCAAAATTATTAATTGTCTTGTGACCAGGAACCTGTGGATCTCTATGGGTATGCATTGATCTTTCTGTCTAAATCACCGTAGCAAGACCTTCATAAGCCTACTTGTGTTAAAGAAGGATCTTACCCAAGGGAAAGCTTGTCTGCCATCAATTTCTATTTGCTGAGATATACTGCAGGTTCTAGCAGCCAGATTAAGCTGGAATTTTCTATAATATTCAAGTTTGAATGTTCTATAGGAGATAAAATTAGAAAAAAAGACGGAAATGGACAGATTTATGCTACTAGAAATCATACAATGTTGGTACTATATGTTTCTCTTGAAAACGCAATGGATATTTATATTTTATGGTTCTCAAAGCCTTTTACTTGGTAAATGGATGCATGCACAGATTTCAAATAATCAAGTTGTTAAAATGCAAAAAATAGTAGTAATAGTAAAGTAATAAGAATAAGAATACAATGTTCGTTTCAGCTCTTTGCCTTTCCAACATGGACCATGCAAGATGCAACTTTGCCTCAATGTTTGTAGCTCACAAATATATTGTAAAAAATGAGGAGGATGGAATGCACAAGTGTTCCCTAGCTAACACACAGGAGAAATGTCATAACCTGGATGATCTCTGCCAGAACTCTTGGGAGTTAGAAGGGGTTTCTGGGGGCACAGGAGGCAAGTCAGCCTCTTGAAATACTGGGTTGCCATCTGCATGTCCCAGAAGGCCAGTGGAGAGCAGTGGAATGGAATCCAAATTAGCAGTGTGTCACTGGAATGGAATTCCCCCAAAAGATGATGTGATGCTCTTGTGCTGTATGGTTGCGTACCGGGGAACATATTACCATCAAAAAATGGTTTAACCTTTGGTTTGTTTGGCATTCTTAACTCTCCCTTGCCATATCTACACATGTGAGATTTCCCAGTGTCTTTCTCTAAGTGGTGAACAGTCTGACTGCAGGTTTATTTGCCAAAGCTGAAGAGAGCATGTCATATCTCATATACCTACAGTACATTAAGGTTCAGAGACAGCTGTGTGTAATGCAGATTGTAAGAGTGGTATAAACTCTGTATATAGCCATAAAACAGCACTGAAGTGCTACAAGCAAGCATGGGTTTAACACAGACAGCAAATGTTTATATATGTGTGGGTTGGTATAAATTAGAAAGCTTTGGTTTGTTTGAAAATGTGCACAGTGGAGTTTTAATATACTGACTAGAATATCAATGCATTTTTCCAGCCGAGCTCTTCTTTTCCATTCAGTAAGTGACTGCATTGCTGTTTCCTAACTCTGTCCTTGAGAAGCTGTGCTGAGCTATAACTCTTCGTTTAATACAGTTTATAAGACAAGGATCAATGCAGACTCTCGTGTTTCTTACATTATTGTCTGTCACCTTCATTTTCATGAGATCACGTTTCTCGTCTTACTGAGCATCCTATTGTTTTTGTTCTGTTAGAGTTTCTGTTATTTAACCCAGTCTGGCTATAATCACATTCACACAACTTTCCCCAGTAAGGAAAGAGACTTCATAAAGAACTCTTTTTCATTCACAACAATAACAATAATAATAATACTTCTTCTGGGGACTCCCCTCCACCAACACCAGTGTGCAGCCCGAGCTTGTATGAAGGTGACAGCAGCCAGAGTGCTCCAGTACACTCACCACACATCAGCTATCAGCGGGAAGGAGAACAGAGTGTTGAAGCCAATACATAGAAGGGGATTAGTAGGAGGCCATGATTGGTAAATCCCAATAGGAAGTTTGGCCAGGACGCTACTCTTTACAAGCATTGTCCTCAGATTTTAAGTGACAGCAGAGAGTCAGGACCTCAGTTTTGTATCTCATCTGAAGAACGGCACCTTTTTATATTATAAGGTCCCCTTCACTATATTGGCATATTAGGACCTACACAGACTACAGGGTGAGTGCCCCCTACTGGTCCCACTACTACCTCTTCCTAGCAGCAACCTTTCTCCCATCCAGGTACTAACCAGCTCCAGTGGGCTGCAGGGTGATATGGCTGCAATTTCACTAGGTTTGACTTTACTGATTTTTATCAATGTACTCATTGTACTTCAACAACACCAATACCTGACAATCTTTTCTGGATCTTTGTTTTGAATATTTAGTTTGTGTGGTGAAAAGAATTTAACCAGAAACAGAATATAACAAGTAGCATTTAAAGAAGCACATTAAAAAGGAATGAGATATTGCATTAAAATTTCATAAAAAATTCCAATGCTACCAATGAGGCTTGTTCATATTAAAAAGTAAATGTAAACAAAGATGTAATAATTTGAAAAAAATACCAAGAAAATAATATCCTAAAATATAGTAATTTCATATTATTCTCTTCCTATGATAAATGTAGTTTCACCCATTTCACAAATTTACAACAATGGATGAAAGGAATCATAAACTCTCACAAATATAAGCCATGATCGTTTTCTCTTCAAATTCACTTTGGTTTTCTTTAAAGTAATCTTAAAACCAACACTTACTCTCTGTGCACTTACCTGAAGTCATGCAAATCTTCAGGAAGTAGACAAAGTTCATATGACAAAACATATATCCCCGGATTATAAATGAAACCCGAACTGGTGGCAGAATTTCACCTTAGACAAGAATGTGGCACGAATGATTCTGTATTTTGATGTTATATCTCTTTCTACAAACTGAGTATGGATTACTCTAGCTATTACACTCTTTCTTTTTCTTTTTAGGTACATGAAAACACACCATCTTCATCTTTTCATGCCTGCATTTATGGGCTTTATAGCAGCCACTACATCTGTAGTTTATTACCACAACATTGAAACCTCCAATTTCCCCAAATTGCTGCTTGGTAAGTGAATGGTCAAAATGTGTTTTTTTGCAGGGGAGAGCTCTCATTGCCTGCCTGGCTAACAAAGAGCCAGCAGCTGCATATTGGGGGTGATTCTCCATGTCAAAAACTTTAAAAGCATGACTATACCACTGCTTTTGGCAAAGTGATATTTCTTTTACCTGATTTTTGGAATGAGGAACTCCTCTGCAGTTTAGGTCAGCATATAAGCTTCAACATTATTGGGAGAAGGCTCTAATCTAGTCTTATTTTCACTACTTTTATGCAGAGTATTCTTATCACATTTGCAAGTATGACTCTGCTCATTTCTTTTGTTAAATTAGTGCATCACTCTTTCAGTCCTGTGAATTTTTAAAGGGACCAGTTGGGGTGCAATGGTCGTGAGGCAGTTAGTGCTGCTGCCTCATTCCTCTGTGTCCTGGGTTTGATTCTGGCATATTTTGTGTGGAGTTTACATGTCAGCCTGTGAAGAAAAAGGGAAAGGTTTATTCCATGTTAAAACCTGAAGAAGGCTCCACAGCCGAAATGCTATGCCTCTTTTCTTTTCCTTTCAGCATGGAATAAACCCTTACCTGTTCCTTTCCAGCTTGCACATGCTAATGCAGCTACTGTACCTAGTCAAACTTCATGTTATCCTGTGTGTCTGTGTGGACTTTCGCAGGGTACTCCCGCCTCTCACATGTGTGTAATTTTGCCATTCAGGATGTGGTCCTGCCTTACACCATGATATTCCAGAGTAGGCTCTAGTTGTCTCAACCTTAGAATACCAGTATATGTTTAATGGAAGGATGGAAAGGGACCAGTTATTAGGGCAGCTGTTAGCAGAAGACTGTTGATCTTTAATGTGGTACATAAGGAATTTCAGTTTAGGTCTTGCAGTTAGAACAATTTAACAAGGCAAGGGTGAAATGATTGTGAAGTCAATAGGAGTAAAATGTGTGTAGTTGGACCCTGTATTTGATTTCTTGTCTAAGGAGACTTCCAGGCACTCAGCACGCACAGCCCCAGACAGGTACTTAACACTCCATTGAAAAAGACTGGAGTTTGAACTCTTTAGAAAGAGTTAGAGTGTAATTCTGACTCTTTGAAGTGTGTTGCACAGGCCATGCAGGATATTCATAGAAGTACGGATTTTTATATTCAGGATGGAGTACTGTGCCGTATGCAATAATGTATACTATTCATGCTGTCAGAGCTGAAAAGTGCAGGTGGTATGATTTCTGATGGGAATCTCCAGGGCTTGTGCACAGAGGAACAGTTCATTTCTGTTTAAGATTAAAACCTAGTTTAAGATTTAAATAATCTTTCTGACAGTTGAAAATAGGGCCATAGACCATAGGGCCTGGTCTTTATAGTAATGGAGTGTCTATGAGCTTGACCTGGTTGTTTAGAATCATTCCAGGCTGCAGGAGGGAGTGCATCTCTGTATCATATTTTAATGGTATAATTTTTTTTCTCTAATTCACAGCTCTGTTCATTTATTGGGTACTGGCGTTCATCACAAAGACTATAAAGCTGGTAAAGTACTTTGAATACCAAGTGGGGATTCAGCATTTGAGGTTTTGCATCACTGCTATGCTGGTCATCCTCTATGGGCTGCTAATGGCAGTGGAGATCAATGTCATTAGGATCAGGGTGAGCACATATTTTCTTTTTCTCTCCAATGCAAGTGTCTCCTTTATAAGAAATTAAACAATCCCACTCCCCTCTCCTCTATCACACCAGTACAACTTCTCCTTCCAATTAAATATTCTGTCTCAGAATGATGGAAGTTCTTGGAGTTGGAGCACGTTGAATTGTCCTGATATTTGAGCGGCTTCTGTCTGTGTGATTTCCAGAGGTACGTCTTTTTCACAAACCCCCAGAAGGTGAAACCTCCAGAAGACCTGCAGGATCTGGGGGTGAGGTTCCTGCAGCCTTTTGTTAATTTGCTGTCCAAGGCCACATACTGGTGGATGAACCCTATGATCATCGGTGCCCATAAGAGGCCAATTGAACTGAAGAAGATTGGTAAGCTACCAATAGCTATGAGGGCTCTGACCAACTACTTGCGCCTGAAAGATGCCTATGAGGAGCAAAGGGTGAGTAGTATAGACCACATTCATACAAGCTTTTGCTTGCTTTTAATAACACTGCAAACCTGAAAGGCATTTGTTGTTAAGATACATATACAAGTCCTCTAAATCTCACCGGTTAAGGTATAGCTATGATAATGAGCCCTAATAAGGGTTAAATATCTGTCTGTGGCAATTTTCTGCAATTTAATGTATGCAAAGAAGAATTAGAAGTCTTTTTAGACAGGTTTGCTTTCTAGTGTTGGGAAACAGAGCTAAATAACAACTTCTCATGATTCTTAGCAATTTCTGCTTGTCCTTAAAAACACTGTTAGACACCAAAACACCTTTTGGCTTTAGTTGATTGTAGATTAAACTGACCCAGGGACGCCAAATAATGTAGAT